CGCTGTGTGCACAAAATGACGAGTAAGCAAGTTACGAATAATGCTCATCAGATGCTACAGAAGTAAAATAAGTGAAGTAGAAATGAAAAGAGGTCTTGAAGCATGACTGTGTTGAGTATCATAAATTAGCTTTTTTTGGTTGAAAGTGCTTTCAACTTTCGTGTTTCTTATAGCTACGTAATCATCCCAGCATTGTTTAGCATCCTTTTTTGCCCGCTTATACTTTGAAAGCTCCTGATGAATAGAAGCTATGGTAAAAAGAATTAAACAGGCCTCCAGAGGAAGCCTGAGAGGGAACCCCGGCATCTCAATCTTCATTTCTTGTCGGGCTTCCCCTAGGATCTATCCCCGATCTTAACTCGTTTTGACAGGCTCTCCGTTGTTACTTTTGCTACCTGTCCCCATGGTAAGGTTAAGTCTGCATACGAGCCAAGTGGCCCATCAGACCGGAGCTTATCTCGGTTTCTGTAGTATGAAACGAGTAGGAGTATTTCTACTTCCCCCTGGATCGGATGCTATTCCATCGCAGGGTTACCCCCAGCATTAAATTCGCTGGTACCCATTTATACAACTGGGTGGAGAGAGGCACTTTGAGATTCACCTGATGAATCATGTGACTTTTCAATTCACACCCAGGCAGACTCGTTGACACCCCGTCAACTACTTTTCAACTTACTTCTGATCATTGAACGTTCAGTGAAATGGATTGGGTTAATGCCTCGTAATTCCCAGTCACTGATCGTGGGATCCATTCCCAGTAAGGGTGAGTGTAATATCCTTTTTCTTATTTGTTTATATCATTCCGCGATGTTGATATTTATTTCTCAAACTCATTAACAATTCATCAAGTTTAAAGAAAGGAAATCATGACCGTGACGGTGTTTGGATATCTGATCTTAATTAGCATAGATTTTGACGATTTTAATTCTCCGTTTACTCCTTAGTTTAAGTTTCGATTGAGAAGATATATCAAACATTCAAGACATTGCGCGTCGCATTTTCAACTTTCTTCTCGGTGTTTGGAAGTGTGGTCGAACACAGACTTTTGTGTTTGATATATTACTTACAGTACCGAAACAACAGATCATGGTCTCTTGACCTAAATCATATAGCCTTCAGGAGGAGTTAAACTTGAAACTATTGAGAGCAAATCCAGATAGCGGTACGATGGAGGATTTGAACTAGGGACTTCCAGATCGCAAATCCAGCGCCCTAAAACACTCGGCCAGGCCGCCAACAAAGTAACCCTTCCATAACTAAATTGCTACTATCAGTTTCGTGACTTAACTAGCTAGGTCTTTTCGATTTCTTAATAATTTTATGTTTTCGTACGGCTCAATAAAACAAACACATTAAATAGGTCACGCAATCCAACGTTCAATTGCAGTTCTAAGCCCTAATTAACGTGGCTAATGCTCGTTGCTGTCTAAAGCTAAGAAAACACAATATTATCGCCGCAATGCAAATGGCCTAACGGGCTAAATGTTCACCCAATGTCAGGATTCTTCAGAGACAGGATTCTCAAAGTCGTCAAACGATCAGTGGGAAAAAGCCATCTGAAGCAGGTTGATCAGACTGTTCGTTTAATTTTTTCGTACGGAAATTCTAGTTTCTTTATTACAAAAAAAATACTGACAGAGATGTTTGCTTCGCTTATAAGAAGAATATATTCAGCATCGACTATTCGCCATCGTTTAAGCTTAATAGGATAAGATTTCTACCATCTCTTCAGTCTAAAGGAAGTCATTGCTTTTGGGAATGGCTTTTACGAAGATCAAGTTATTGACGTCGCTGTCCTTTACGAAAATACAGATCTTAAGCATTTTGTCTTTAGCGACACGACGGGACCCGCGAAAGTTTCCCGCGTCCACTGCCGTTCCCGTCCTCGCATCTTAAGTTCCCTATTACCGACTTCAATCCATGCGCATACTGATCCGATAAAGCTAAGTTTGCTTTGTTTATCGAAGTTTGACTAATGCGTGTTTTCGTCTTAAACTTAAAATAAACTTAAAACGTGGTAAAAGTTCGGCAAAACTATCAAGCTCCGTGAGTGATGGCGCTATGTGCCTAGCTACGGTAAAAACTAGCCAATGAGAATGCGGCAGTTATTATAAATTGTCTGCAGTATTGTGTATTAGTGAAAACAACAGATTTGTAATGGTAATGTTGTTTAAGGACGGTTAACAGGTCAGTAAAATTATGAATAAGTGGTCTGCTGTTAATTTGTTTTATACGATCGCGTGTAGTGTTTGCACTGAACTGTCATAACACCATTGTATGGGGTGTCCAGCCTATGATAACCCTCTTTATCAGTAGTAAACAAGAAAGAGACGCAAAACAAAGACTTCGGGGTATTCTTGTCTAGGCCCCTTTTTGCCCTAAGTTGAAAATCGAGAATTGCTGACAAGCGGGCAAAGATGACCACACGACTCTTTTTTTTCTTTCTTGCTTTTTCATTCATTTCCTTCTCGACAAAGGAATTAATAAGAATTACTCGGGAACGTCTTGCGTTTCTTGCAGCATGCTGAGACTCGTAACTTCTTGGGGTTTCTTGCTCTTAGATTTTTAATTTCTTGCGTTTCGAAAATTTCTTGCAGGTAAAAGGCAAAGCCCACATATTCTCACTCTAATATTGCGCCAGCTTGAGTAATCTTGCACTACTTCTTGTGCGTGCATTGTTTTGGACTGTAATGTAGTCGGCTAACCATAGAGGAGAGGAGCTGTACTGTGGAACTGTGTTTCAGAATATGTTAATGATTCTTGTAATTTTTAAAAATTTTATTCAAAGGCAAAATCTAGTCCGATATTTAGGGAAATCAGATTTGCGATAAAGTAAGTTAATTTTTTATATTTCATTCATTTTATAAGTAGGTAATTAGATAATTAGATAATTAATTAGATACACGACCCCTCAAGCAAATAGTGCTTAATCGATAATCGTGTTTTAAATAAAGGATTTTACTCACCTTACTTATTTATTTAGTCCGTCTGTTTAATTTTACGAATTCAAATCAAACAAATAGAAACCAGTATGTGACTGACACGTCAATTAACTTCAATGAAGCGACTACTGTAGGTTAGCAATTTTCCGAATAATCATATTTCTTGGCCTAATTATTTGTCCCCTGGAATTATCAAATAATACGGACTCGACTTCCTATCTTAGAACCAATATTCTTATACTTCCTCTTTTTTCAATCGAGATAAATAAAATAAGATAAAATAATATAAACCTTAACGTAGTTTTAGATTTATGTGGATATCTAGATAATACAAAATCTGACAATTTATCTTTCATAGTATGTTAATTCTAATGAGACAGCCAACGCGAAAAATTTCTTGCGCGCCGCGGTGACTCATCTAGAACATTGCTTCTACTTTACCTCCTAATCAAATTTCAATCGTGTGAGTCAAGGAAACAAACGCTTTGATCTAGATTATACCACTGCCGCTTCCTTGTTATCGTGAGAAAGTTAACATTTTTCCGCAAAAGATTCACACTGTATCCAGTCAGCTATGAAATATTCCGCAGCACGTGTCGGCCTTAGTTTCGTGGCTGTGTTCGTGTTGGGCTTTGTCTTTCAAGGCGCCTCTGCCGTGGAAGATTTGCATCATGAAGATCAAGTTGCTGAAAAAACTCATCTGCGATTACATAAAAGATCCGTCAGCAAAAGCGCGACACCCAACATGCCGGACATTCTAAAACGACTAAAAGCCTTGGAGGAAAAGTGAGTAAAGTTTTTCAGTCCGTTTGTAGTCATCTTACAGCAAAATCAAAGCTAGCGAACTGAACGACAACGTGAAAAGTTTCTTCGTATAAAATCAATTTCAATTTAACGCCCTTGCGCTTGCCCCAACGGAATTGAAAAAAAATCACAGGAGTCTACGAGAGTGTAATACAGTAAGTATTAGGAATTTAGACAAGCGCCACAGTTTAAAACACTCCCTACTAAACATCTTTGCTTGTACGAAAGTAATTCGACAACTAAATTAAATCGTAATTGAATGATAAATAAATTTCAAATGCCTTACCCAGATCATAATAAAAATTATTTTTCCTTAAACTCCTTGAAAAAAGCTACAAATTCCTAACAGTTTTACCTTTTGGTCACAGGCACGACAAGAGTCTGAAAAGCGCAAACTTGACAAATCAGCGACTGCAAGAACTGGAGAAAAGGTATGAAAAAATGAGCGACCTACGTTTATCGATACTGAGATACACACTATAATTAATCGTTGATTTATCGTTATACTCCTGGTGCTACAGTATTACCAAAAAATATTTAATGAAAACGATCTAAATAAAGTTGCTGTAGTTTGTGTAGTTACTGCAGTTTGTGTAGTTACTGTAGTTTGTATAGTTAATGTATTTTGTGTAGTTACTGTAGTTTGTGTAGTCACTGTAGTTTTTGTTGTTACCGCAGTTTGTGTAGTTACTGT